GCTAACAAAAGAACTTCAATGTCATCCACACATATAATGAACTAAAATACTTTAAAAATACCAATTACTTTAAATAAAAATTAGTTTTACTACCACAGTGGAGCTACAGCCTCCAAGACATAGGCATAAAATGGTAGCTTTTAATACACTGAGCAGTTATCTAAATTTGTACTGAATTATTGAACTGTCAGTTATTGATTCATTCCCATTTTAAAATTGCTTTGTCTACTGCTCAAAATACTGTAGTCAGGCAGGATATACTTTGTATAACTTTTGATGTGTGGCAAGAGACTTCTGTCAAAATAAAGTCTGGATTCCTGCTCTGTCAGCAAACAAACATGTCTATTTTGTTCATATCAAAATGCTTACATTTTCTGCATTTTTGTTAACCAAGTATGTTCAGGACTGAGACTTTGGAGCCCTATGGAGCCTCACAACAATTTAAGTCCAAATAAAAGGGCTCATTGAACACTACTATTCAGGAATATTTCAGAATGGAATTCTGCTTAAAACTTCAAGAAGCACTAAGAATTCAGAAAGAAACAACAAAAAAAAAAACTTATTCATTAGGATCAAGATGGTTCTAAGCAGCAAAAGGGCAATGAATTCTTAATACTTATCAGTAATGTGTGGGAATCCCAGGGGCACTGACACAGTTGTATTTACAGTGATACTGATAGTACAGCTAGTCCAGAAGTAAAAATCCTGAAATAACATACAAAGAAATGTTTTTGCAATTCCTTTAAAAATCCACTTTAGTCACTGCAGCATCAAAAAGCAGCAGTTTAAAGGTTTGGCTTATACTTTTTTTCCATAAAGAATAAGTATTCTACAAGGAAAATATGTAAACAAACAACTTTTTGTCTCTCACTGTTGAGAAGTTTACTGAATCCTTCAACACCACAGTTGGCCTATTTGCCTGGTTACAACTAGTTCTCTTTTCATCTTCTCACGCCAATAACTTCCCGCTCTGAGTTTATCTTAATACTCCTCATAGACTTGTATCAGTCATGCGATACTCTGCCTAGTGCCTACTGGCATCTTGACATGTAGGATTTGCTTCATAATTCTATATTGGTATGATCATGACACATTTTACTTATTACAGGAAAGGACTAGAAGCTGCTACACAATTCCCTAAATCTAATCATAAGCAAAAATCACTTATAATACATTCTTATCTCAGCAATTAAAAATATAGTCCAGTGAAATATACTTTACATAGGTATAACACTGGTGTTATATACTGTTTTCCGAGAGCTCTCAGCTTATATCTAACTATAGCACAACAAGAACAATGTTGGGGTTTTTTTTGGCTCTTATGTTGGAAGCATTAACCACAACTGGGAGCATTTGCAAATTTTCAGTGAAGTTCCTTCCTCAGTTCCAGGAGTCTCCTCTGATGTCTTAGCTAAACTTTCAGGATGTTTAACTTGTTGCATCCTGCTTTAATTCCAAGGTATAAAGCCTTCTGGAAAGCTCCAAAACATCTTAGTCTTTCAAGAAATAAAAATTTACAAGCCGATGTCTACATGAAGAAATGCATCCTATAAAAATAAGGTAGGAACACACTACATACAATTTATTACACAATACAGCATGGAACAAAGGTCAGGGAATATTTCTAGCTAAGTCTTCTCTAATACGCGTACAGTTCTTTAATGGAGTTTGGTATATTAGAGGAAATTGTAATTGTATCTATTAATGAAATCTTGCACTTTAAGTGCTTATATCAATGTCTTTGTTCAGTTGGGGTTTAACAAGGGAGATGCCAAAGTCAAGTTTTCTTGTACTGTCTGCTTTTCCCTGACATTTTAACCAGTTCTTGCAGTGAACTTCAAAGCAGTCACAACTATCTCAAACCAACTCCAAAAGCATGAATGTTTACAGCAAGCAGACTTGCATCTTTATAACTGGTATTCTCAGACAGTAACAATATGATATTGATCAGATATTTGTAGAAAACAGATAGCAATATCAGTTCTTAATTTAAAATAACAAGATTCCTGTGCAAGTTCCCATATTTTGCACATGCAAAAGGAATGAGGTAGGGCCTCTTGTCCAGTTTCACGAGTAATTACTCTGAAGTATAATGGTATGGGTATTTGATCCATACCAGAACCTACTGTTTATAAACAAACTTGAACACAGATGTCCATGGCATAGCCTTCATAACAACCAAAACAGATTGAGACCAAAGCATTTCATATAGCAATAAAGTCAGAAGCTATCCCACTGAGGTCATTAGCTGAATGTAAATTGTAATTACAATACAGCATTGAATGATGAACTAGAAAACTTTATTTCCTTCATTAGCCTGAATTATGTTCTAAAAAAAAAAAAAAATCCAAATAAACATTGCAACAGGACAGAACTGAAGAACTGCTTCTTAAAATTAGAACTCCATGTAAGAAAACCAGTATAAAAATACAAACCTTCTGTGCACTGTTTTTCTCCGCAAGAGGAGATTTTTCCCATAGCAGGAAGGAGTGAATGTTGTCAGTCTTATGTTTTGCACACACATTTTTTCCTACCATTTTTGTGTCTTTTTTCCCCTACTAGCGCTAAGTGCTTATACCAGACTCCTATTAAATCCTCACACTACATTTTCATTTGCTATTCTCAGAAATACTGAAGAGTTAAATACTTTCCCTGCCAGATCTGATTAATACATGTGTTCAGATATAAAAATTCCATCAAATAATGTATAGGATAATGTCCATTTAGCAAACCCATGCCATTTTACCCGCACCACAGAAAACCTTGAGTTGGCAAATTCAGTCTCTAGAGAGACCCTGGTGATATATGGAGTTTGCCCACCTACCAAAGTAAAAATACTTCACAAATGTCTTGAATTGAGAAGCATACTGCTCTAGAAAGTTAAAGAACTGTCTGCTAAGCTCCTACAGGATTGCCAATTTTACATCTGGTGTCAGGAAATGCTTTCTCAGCTGCAAAGAAGGAATTCAGTAGAAACAGTGAGTCATGCTACCAGCTTTTGATGTGAAAACCCTGCCAGGGAATGCTTATGGAACACTACTGTTCTCCCTCAGTCTGGGCTCCATGAAGTTTCACTGCAGAGTTTGGAATTGCTACCAACACTCCTTCCTATTCAGTGAAAAAGGCTGTCCAGTAGGACAACATGGGTAGTAATTATCTTGCCTTCATTCTCAATGAGCTTCATTAAAGCTAGCAGCTTATAAAATTGCTGTTTTTGCCTTAGTTGCTTGGTTGCTTTTTGCTTTTAAAAAAAGTTAAGTACATTCATTACTAATTCTTTATTGTGGTTGTACTTTTTTGGTGCTATATTTCCTCTTTTTAGGTTAAATATTTTCTGCTGCATCAGGACTTCTACACTGTAATACTTAGGAGTTTGGGTTTTAATTTTTTTTTTTTAATATATATAAAACATACATGTTTTATGCATTGCCTTTAATGATAGCTAGTTACAGCTTTATTTTGGGGAGTTTTGTTTTAAAAAAACCAATATTTTTATTACAAGTTTTATTATGACAATAGAAAGGTGATTCTTTCTGTATTCAGAAAGCATACAGCAGGTTATTATTTGCAGTTTCAATAAAAGTTATACTAATAATACTGGGAAGGAGGGAACGATAGCTTCTAAAAAGCCATTTGCCAAACTGCAGTTAACTAACTTCAGGCAACTACAGTTAATGACTTCCCTTTCTACAGTACGCTAATAGATGAAAGAACCCCACCTTCCCCTGGCAAGTTCATGACTGAAAACCAATGAGATGATAATTATATGGTGAAATGGATGCAATTAGTTTTTGCAAAACAATCTTTTAAGAGGAAAAGGAGCTTTACCAGCAACACAATTAACTGATGACCTCCACCTTACTTTTTAGCACTTCATAATTTGAAAAGCATATGAATCAATTCTACATTTCTAAAGTAGTAAGGCACAGAAAGATTTCACCCTTCATAAAAGAGAAGTAAATGTGATTCAATATCAAGACAGTAGAATCTTTAAGTTGAACAGGCAATGTGCATCCTACTGATTAATTCCCTTGAGCCTGATTCTCAGAAGCAAGGATTACTTTAAGCAGATAACATACTTCAAGCAGAAGAAATGTAGAAACAATTAGAAAAACACAAAAGCTCACGAGTCTTCTGATTCTGAAGTCTTCAGCAGCTGTCATGAAGTAACAGTAATTTTGAATTCCATTCTCCACGTGCAGAAGGAGGGAATATATTCAATGACCACTCAACTAAGTGAAATGAGCTATACTGGCTGCATCTAAACTGGAGAAAAATATTCTGTCAATAGTAACAAGTGCCTGGGCAGTTGAAGTATACTTCAAAGCTGATTCTTGTTAGGGAAATTTATAGTGTTTACTCCCAGTTCTCTCAGACAGCTTTATAACTTAGAGGGGAAAAAATAAAAACCAAATCTACCCTCCCAAAGACTCTCAACCTCCTAAATAACATCTCTCCCCACAAAAATAAATAAATAAACAAAGCAACAGTATTTAAAATATTTACTTTAAAAAAAAAAAAAACAGTACTATGCTAGCATATTATGAAAGTATTATCACCAAATTTCTTGATCCTTGCTTAAAAATTGAATTAGCAAAAAAGATTTGAATGAAATAGCTTTGTCAAGCAGGACAAACAGAGACAGAAAGCATAACCATTTAGCTGTATAAAAACCTGAGTAACATTGCACATCCAATTGCTGAAGTCTGGTTAGCAAAAAGAATACCAATAACCTAGATAAATTAAAAGTTGCCAATGCAAAATACATAGCTTGACTTGATAAAAAGCATTTTTGAAAGTCCAGCATTTATAGGGAGGGTAAGGACAATCCTTCAGATTTTTACCAGTAATAAATTACTCATTCTATAGGGGTGTGTGTATTTATACCACTGTCTAACATTAACAAATCCTTAACATTAAATGAATTTTGGAGAACAAGACAAAAAAAAAAAATAATCAGCAAAATGTAACAAACCACAACCAAATCTGAGATAGACTGAAGCACCAGTACAAGGTATGCTTTCAGTTCTAAAGAACACCTACTGTAAAATAAGGCAGAATTAATAGATGTTTTTCATTTTGACAGCACAAGTTGAATACATGAGAGAGACCTACATATTTTCTCTCAGAATGGCAAAAAACCTCCGTACTATAGTGTATTAATGAATATACAATTATTATAAAATTAATAAAAATAATTAAAGCAATGAAACATAGGAGATGTCTACATTTCTCTACATTTTATCTAGTTTTTAAGCTGTATTGGTGACTTACTAACAAAAAACACAGCCTTTTTGATTGGTTTGTCAGTTGTACAAGTAATATCCACAGCAAAGCACCTCTGAGAGTTTCTGCTTCAGAAGTTAAAAGTTTTACCTGAAACAGGATGGCAGTATAAAAATCAAGTAGGTAAATATAGTTATGTGCACATGAAAACAAAAATCTTTGTTCCAGGTATGTTTAAACTGGAACATATGGCTTGCTGGAAGATGCCCCGATCTAGTTCAGAGATCAGAGCATTACCTATGGGGGAAGTGTACTGTTGTGAGAAGAAACATTACTAGCAAAGCAGTAGAACATTTCTTTTCCATGGCTACATTCCTGGGGATGCAAGATAGTCAAAACAAACCCAGCTGTCATCACTAGCACACCCACAGCAAGGATCAGGCAGGAGATGAGATTATCTGAATGGTTCCATCGCTCTTCAGACAGCCTTAGATAACACGCTGTTGGGATGATAAAAACAAGTGGGGTAGCACTCAGAACTCCCTGCACATGGGAAACAAAAATAAGAAAACTCTAATAAGCATGAATACTTAGAACCTGAAGAACAAGAACCTGAAATGGTAAATAGCTGTTATAGATTGATGCAGCAGTAAAGCTGGAGAATAGAGGCCTTTTCCAGCACTGCTAAATAGAAAACTTCCTTTTCCAATTCACAAATAGTTTGTAAAAGACTATCTGTGCTTTGGTGATACAGAGTATTTTATGTTTGGAAAACTTCCACTAGATCATTAGATATGATTAGCAGAAGTTTCTAAGAAGCTAGCTTCAGAAGGTCCAAACATAATAGTTCTTCAGTGTGATAACTGACATAAAATATTTAAGATCATTTCACCTGGGAGTCTAGATCTGCCTTTGAAGAAGTGGAAATAGCATGTAGCATGTCAAAGAATTGTGATAAGTTTTATGACTTGATTTACAGCAACTTCTCTGTGAAAGCTATGCTCCCTTACAGAGTAAACATCCCTTACTAAAAATTCAGCTTCTCTTTAATTGTTACGCATATAAATATAGATTAAAAGCAAATTATCAAAAACTATAGTAGAGACAATGTTGATTAATACTTGAGTAGCAAGCCAATAAATCATTTTATGCACAAATTTTGAATATCTGTCACAAACTTTAAGAAAGCTTTTTGCTTTAACTAAATTATGGTGAGGTGGCAATTCAACATACAGAATACCTTTACCTCACTGTACACTCTTCTGTACATCTTAACAGGTTCTGTCATAAAGAGTGATCAGTACTTGCAAGAAATATTTTTCATAAAAAATAAGGCTCACAAGTATGCGAAGAAAGGCAAATCAGCATTATAAGATACTAAGTCTGTAGACACTCGACTGCCTCATGACTGAATGTTTTCCCTGGAGAACTGACAGCAGACAAACATGCAAGCTTGTACTTCGTTTTAAAAGCAGAAAACAGTGAAAAGGTAAGCAGTCAAAAGTGGCAGTAAATGCCATCTCCAGTGAAGAACCAGAAAGCAGTAGAAAGCAGTCCTACTATAGGACCAAAAGTCTGCTGAGATCAGTTCTCCTTCTTATACAAAAACCTCATTCATTAATATTAAACTTAGTCCATTCTGCCAGCAGCAAACAAGACCCCAAACATTCTTTGTAAGCACAGTTACATCCCAGAAATACATGTACCTCTAATGTCAGCTTGTCTCAAGATATGAGCTACCCACTCAAAAGCCTAGCTAACAACTTCTGTTTGAATCCAAACAGAACTTGGCTTGACTGTTCACTAAATGCTTAGGCGTCTTTGGGTAAACATACTGCATTGATGGAATATTTACTTATGAGAATTACTTTAAAATAATTCAAATAGGAATTGAATATTTATTGATGCTAAAAAAAAAACTCATCTACTGTTCTCTAATTTAAATGTATCCTTAAAACATGTAAGAACTTAATACACACACATATAGAAATAAGATGCGCACACAGTTAATGAGGTTCATTTTACTAGGATTCAGATATTTGATCCAAACAGGCTTGTATACATGCACAAATATAGATATTTTATTAGTGTGTATATATGTACACAAATCAATTTCATTCACTTGTGATATAAAAAAAACAGGAAAAAAAAGATAGAAAAGAAATTACCATGTCACAAGTGAGGACCACTGCTTATTTTCAGATAGTTATAATTTGGAAAAGGTTAGCTGAGAAGAAACTGTGTAGGTAAGCATTTAAAAAAGGAGGGCAACTGGATAGTTCATCTGAATATCCAGATCAGCAGTATAAAATGCAAGCATGCTCTGCAATATCATTGCTAAAGAATCACTCACTACCTCTCAGTGAACAGATAAACTGCACTGTAGATTAGAACAGTGTAAATGTACTTGAATGTATCATGTAGCATAAAAAATAACCTCCCACAGTTTGGTAAACAAAGCAGTTCTCATAAAATCAGGTTATGATATTCATGTACAAAATCATTCAGTTTTGCTCCCTGCTAAACCCAGCAGGTAAAATTTCCAAGTTGCTATGAATTCCTAAAAAAAAAAAAAAAAAAGCCATCCAACCACTTGAAGTTTTCTCCCTAAACATTCTCTCTAATTTAATTACATTGCATAATTCCCTTTTCTTCTGAAATTAATATAAACAATTTTAACATTTCTAACTGAATGCATAAGATTTCTGCTAAAGCTACAGATAAATCAGAACTCTGCTTTATGATTTATTAAATAGAAGAGTACACAGATTCACTTACATTGAGCTCTAAAACTATTCCAAGGCAATCATACACTAACGATACACCAGTCACCACAGCAATGATCATTACTGTCACAACAATATGGAAAAGCGTTGAGAGGCCCCCGTGGAAAAATACATTGGCAATCACCTGAAACAGAATCACAACTTTAAACCTTGATTTTGCTCTCTATTTAAACAAATAGCTTATAACAAATCTTCTAATGTTAAGAAACAAAGAATGGCTGAGAATATACTGATTGAACCTTACCTTTGTTGCTCCAAGAAAACATCATCTGCTTCCAAAAGTAACTCTTAACAAATATTAACAAAAATCACAGAACACTTTCCAGACTGGCTTAGTACAACTTCAGGATTCATTTTCCTTTCATTTGGATGTTACAGAATAAACCCAGTTTCTATTGTTTATTGAACAAATGGATTTCCTCAACAGAAATACTTTAATCAGGCAGAACTGAGAGGCATAACAAATATGCTATTTTTAGCTATTCAGCATAATATCAACAGTAGCACTTACACCAATCCTGGAATTCCATGCAGCCCTTATAGCTATTAGTATTATTATATCATTATATTATATTATTATAATATTATATATTATTATATTGCCAGAATCTAAACAGTACATGTACCATCATATTCAGAACAGCATGCAGCAGAACAAGATATGTTAATAACCATTACACATCAATCATTGACTTCAACAACAAGTGAGAACACTAGTAACATATCAACATTGTTTAAGGGAGAACGTAACACATGCTTACCTCTCTAGTGACAAAACATTCTAGAGGGAAGGTCAGAATTACAGTAACTCCATAACAAAACCTTCCAAACGTAGCAAGGTTGTCATCTCTACAGTAGTTTTCAAATATGTCTCCTGAGGTATAGCAAAACATCAATTAGATTGAACTTGCCTCATTTGCTTATTTGTAAACTGAAGAATAAGTTAATAGAATCGCTGGAGTAATAGAGACTTCCTAATTCCCTTTCCTCTTACATCAAGAAGTTTTAATATATACATATCAGAGTGCCATCTGTCACCTTCCCCTTAGTATCAGTTTTGTTTGAAATGTTGGTGCTTACCTTGGTAGGAAATAGAAAAAGCTTACATGTGACAAGTTTTAATTTAAAAGCTTCCATTTAAAAATGTAAGTCACAGAATAGTAACAATTACACAAGAAGACCAGACTCTGTGTAACAGCATTTCCCTTACAGTGTCTAATCATAGCTGGTGAGCTGCAGTGAAGAATTTCAAATATTCTGAGCCTGAATGCCCATTATAAATATATGGATTATTAACCAGAACATCTTTTTACATCTAACAACAAAAACATTGATAAAGAATTCAAATCACATTTGCTTAGTGGCTATAACAATGAATCTGGAATAACAATCCACAAGACTTAAGAAAGACTGCCAGACCACAATAAGAAAGGATGTAGTACATTGTCTATCTGGCTATTATACTATTCTACTATTTACTACTTTCAGGATCACAGTGGCAAAGAAGGAATAAAGCGTGCTTTGGAGAAAAACATCTGAAAGATTTTGACAGGAGATGCAGAAGGGAAGGCAATGTTGAGTTCTCATTTAGAGGTGGAAACACTCAAAAGGTATTTTCACCAATGAGGCTTTCACTTGGAATCTGACACCTACTACCATCTATCCAGCATCTTTGTACCCTGTCTTGGTTGATGGATAACTATGAAAATAGTTGTCCTAACTATTTAGGGCCATAATGGGTGCAAGAACACCAAAATCATACAAAGCTGTTAACAACAGGACCTGAAATTAAGGACCGCAAGAAAGCATGAAGGTTGAGGAATTGAGCAGTTTACCTTCTGTGTATCCTGTAAAAGTCACGTATCCACATGCAGCAAACAGTACACTGATAACAACAGCAAGTAAAACAGACACATGTGTGACTCGAGACCAGTTGTTTAATGTGGGTTCTTTCAGAGAGCCATATATTAAAAAGCTGTTATGGTGGCAGATGAATGCTGAAATACACATAATAGTTGAAGGAAATGAATGAATTCATGTGTGTACATATAAAATAAATTGAAGTGTGTACTCTCTCCAAGGTAGGAGAGTAGACGGAAGTTTGATATTACTCATTACTGAGCACAAACATTAAACCTACAATGAATGGAACTTCTATCTACTTGATGAAGGTTTATAGTCATCTTGAGACTACTTCAATTGCATTGCCCTAAAATGCCATAGTGTTTCTTCCCCTCTTCCCCATGAGTATAAAAAAACATCCCAAAACTTAAAAAAAAAAAAAACAAACCACACAAATTCTAGGTTCAAAAATATCCAAGTCATTTCTTAAAGTTGATCTGAAGACTGAAAATACAAAAATGACTTACCAAAAGACATCACCCCAATGGCCTGTATTGCATTTGATTTTGCAAATATCCATGCATTTTCTGATTTGGGTCTAAAACAGAAATTGTTTGTTATATTATGCTCTTTTCAACCATCGGTTACTAAAAATAATTTTGAACACTATGCTGTAACACAGAATTCCTACCTGAATTAGGCCACAGTGTTCATCAATAATAAGTTGAAACCAAAGAGATGCCTTTTTCACCTCTTGTTTTGAGGAAAGTATTCTAGGAACTAATTCTTACAGCTAAAACTGTTTCAGCAACCAATTATGTAAATAAATTATTCAAGTCATCATTTATCAAGAAACAGTAAACGAGAAGATAAATGCTGTTACAAGCTTTGGATGAGGTCTTCTCAATCCAAACCTCCGACTATTTGAAGGCATTTTATTCTTCTGAGTTTACACATGTAATGCACTGTTTCTAGAGACTTATTTGTAGACCATATATCAAGTGAGGCAGTTTGTCTCCATTTACACCTTTTTCAACTGTTCCTCATCTTGAAGGAAGCTAGTTCCTAAATTAATGATAAAAGTTGAAGAAAATATACAGAGATGTTGATAACCAGGCAAGAACGCATTATCTTCCATGTCTCTAAGATAGATGCCCAATTTTGGACCTTAGAGAAGGACTACAGAAATCTGTAAGCAATCTTCGTTAAAATCCATTTGATATATGAAGAAGTTTCCTAAAGAATCAAAATGAAGGGAAACATCCTTTCCCAAGCTTGCAATTTTCTAAAAAATATACCTGGAATTCACAAGTTCAGCCTTTTTTTTTTTTTTTTTTTTAATGCTAAAGCATAGACAAAGCATGAGTACAGAAAAGCTTGCTCTTAACAAGTGTACTGCTGCTAGCTTTGATTGCTCCATTTTTATTTAAATTTTTTATTTAGTTCTTCAAAGGTAACATTGGCAGCTTTGCCTCTCCCTCTACCTGATAAGTGAGTGATTTTGATAGCACAGCATAATCCACTACAGCTAAGTTCCACTGCTAGCAAATTTTTAAACCAAATTAAAGAAAAAAGTTCTGTTGCCACTTGTTTCTGTTTTGAGTACTCATTATTTCTTCATTACTTAAATAGTCAAGTCTTCCTTTTCCATATTAAACACCTAATTTCTAGTATCCAGTGCACATTCAGCTTAGGCTTAAAACAGCTTTTAAACTACAGATGCTAACCTTAAGAAGAGAACCTGAGCACCAATATCGAGCTTGTTTTTTGAGCTTGGATGCTCTATATATTTGACTAGCATGCAGTTTCTAATATTAAGCACTTGAATACAGCCCTCCTAAAACATACTTCAGCACATAGATGTAATCAAATCTAAGGATTAAATAAATATTGTGCATTTATCTTGTGAAACAGACATTCTGATCAAACATAACTGCTGTTGCTCCTTATATAGAGTAGCTGTCTTTAATTTGATACCAGTGATTTCAAACCACTAGAGATGTCTGTGAATAGTTCATATTCACAATTATTAATGCCTTTTTCAGGAAACTATTCACATTTGATTCAAGAAGCAGTAACAGTATCAAATATAGACTACAGAAAATAACATTACAACTATTCAATTCCATCACCACTAGAGGTCAGCTTTAATATCAAATATACAGAATGGAAATCTGTTGTATCCTTTGATGACACAATTTTTGAAAGTCAACTTAGTGCTTTTCTATTCACAGTCAGTATTTAGATTATCTAATGTCCAACACAGAAAAAAATATTTCTAAAACAAACAGAAATAAAGAATGCATGTATATTAAACACTGCTCTATTAGACAATCACAACAATTCCACACATTTTTCTCTGAAATATAGCACACCCTATGAAACTATCCAGCCATATCAAATTCCTACAAATATGGACTTAAAAAATGGAATTAGAAAGTATATGAATTTTATTTGAAACATTGTGAATGAAGTAGTCAAATAATTTAAAAACAGTCAAAATGTATCAGGAACTAACTTCCCCACTGCAGTGTTAGCTCATGCACTGGCAATATGCAGATTGAAACACTGCTTGGTTTTTCTGAATGAATGGCAAATCAGACAAGGAGGACTACTTGGAAGTGGGGAGGGAGTCCAAAAGAACAAATCCTGTCCAGATCCACAATTTTAACAGTCAGCAAATGCCACGTCATAGCAAGCACATTGTCACAGATGACACATGCAACAGTATACACAGCTCAGCATTTCTTACAGTAAGTTACATAATCCTCCATATATTTTCAAAGACATTCTCAAACCTTGGGAATAGGCAGATCTCACACCGGTGTGCTATGTAAACTAACAAGTGAAAGGAACACATGAATACTCACTATTTCCAGATTCCAATTAAACTTCATGTAAAATATTTGCATAACAGAATTTCATCTAATACATGCTTTTAGGTGAAAACCAAATGATTTCACAAAGACTTGAGAAATACATGATAAAAAGATCCAGTAGTGAGTATCATGGTCTAGGAACAAGTACGCTAGCCACATGCAGTGTAAGGAAAGCATACATAAATTTATGTGAACATGTAGGTAGGTGCATACAGAGGCTGACAAAGTATACCAGAATACCAGGTAACACTTTACCTGCTTGGCTCTCAAACCTGCTGCTACTTCTAAAGACACTTTTGCTTTGTTTTGACAAGGATCTTTGTTCTGACCCAACCTGATCTACTTCATTGTTATTGGAACCATGAGTGAAAGATTTCATCTTCTGCTCTCACAAGAACAGCAGTAGCTGTGAACACCCACAAATGATAAAAAGTAAACCAACTTATTTCTTCACTTTCAGTTTATAAAAACATAAACTATGCATGATAAAGGTTTTTCCCTCATGCTAGAGAAGAAGCATAACTCAGGCAAAACACAAAAAGTTAATATTTGTGATGCTAAATGCATTTAGAGAAAGCTGTACTATCTATAATATATAGAAGTTACAAAGCAGCATTAATGCTTGATAGACAATGTAACTGTGATTGTTAAACAGCACAGACAAGGTAAAGCAATATACCAACCCTACTTAGAGCTACTTAAATCTCCATTTTTCCTTAATGAAGAAAGGGCCTGTAAATACAAGCTTGAGTCTTACTGTTTTGAATTTCACCACAATAAAGTTTGTCTTCATTTACCGTTGGTTTAAATATAAAGAATCAACTTTCTACTTTCAAGTTATTTTTCTGAGCAGTTACTGTGATCAGCTGCCAGTTGAGTAATTCTCACATTCTATTTATGTGTAGCAATTTTCAAATTTTTTTTTCCCTGTATATTTTTGTATAACACAGATACTGGCATCATGACATTCTTCCCAAAAGATCAAATTAAAGTGATCCACCTTTATAAGATACTTAAAGTATTGCTGTATATTTGCAGTATTAAGTTACCTGAAAGCAGTGTGAGATAACTCTAATCCACTGGCTTTGATCACAGCAGATAATTTCTTAGCTGCATCAGGTGGAAATAGAGCAAGGAATAGGTCATCTAAATGCATTTTTTATCCAACATCTTAAACTACTGAGAATAAGAGCAGCAGATTTTATTTGCAGGAACATTACATCCTTCAAACAATAAGAGAATAGCCAGTCCTAATCAAAAGCAAAAAAAAAATCTCAGCTTCATATTTATCATAAGAGGAAATAAATTAAATCAAGTAATCCCTCAACAGAAATACAGGTCTTCTCTGCCCCAAGTAACAAGAAATGAAAACTCATCATGTTCCCAATTGACTCTCCCCATTCCCAAAGCGACTAAAATATAAAACAAAATGCAACACTCCTAGGCCACATAAGTGCTGTTTTCAGCCTACGGTTTCAAACACATGAAATCATTGCAAACAATAATTTTACAATAAACTTCATGAACAGAGTAAAAGAAAGCAAAAACTGTCAGCTCATAATTCCACAGAGAAGTGTTTGATATTTACACTAGATTGACAACTCAAGGATATTCACCTCAAGTCATTTCACAAAACAGAAAATATCAAACCACGTAAACAGGAGCTTTACAATCCCCAAAGAACACAGCTGAAAGGGGACTCGAGACACTTTGGATGTAAGATACATCAAACATTAGAAGTGAGACTATGATGCCTCTGCTTTATTTACAGAGAACTTAAGGTAGCAATTTTGAAGAGGTATAAGAAAAGAGACAGTACTGGAACTGTGTTGAATTTATAGAAAGAATTACTAAAGGGAAACAAGTTACAGCTTATTATAGGAGTTTAAGCATTAGGAAAGGAGGGAATAGTTTACTGTCCATATTCATTATGGTTAGATTGAGAGATAGTGAATGTGGAATGTAGCAGGAGAAACATAGTTAGGAAAACTTCCTAAATGAAGCTAGTTAAGAACAGGACTGGAAAAAAATCAAGAATAAGCTGAACAATACCTGTCAGCTGTAATAGATCTACAGTCAATTCTGCCCTGTTACAACAGCAGAGATTAAATACCCTTTCCCAGCTCCATCAAGACTTGCTATAGTTGGGCAAGTTATTTTCCTGTATGAGGATCTTGGGTGGTATCATAACCATACTTTAAGAAAATCTCAAAACTCCTCTTTTATTGAGAAGGACTCAAGTAAATGCATTACTTATTTTACTTGCTGAAATACAAGATTGGGCACATTAAAACATGTAAAGTGTGTTCTTTATTATGACTATAAAAATGAGAGAGTAAACTGCTAACAAAATATTAGAATGGGTCTTTAATAATTCAAGTATATATTAAGTAAACTGTAAAAGAAAGATGGAATGATTATGAGGTAAAAAAGTGACTAACAGTTTATTAATGTGTTAGATGAACTTATGAAAATAAGTAGAATAGGAAAACAAGCATGAAGGCAGAAGGAAAAGTCACTAAAGAATGGAGTGGTAAGACCTCAAGAACTACTCAAAAAGCAACACAACTTATTTTAAGAGACAATAAAGCCATGTACTTCATATATTTCGATGCACAACCGCTGTTGAGAAAAAGCGTTACCGTAGTAACAAAGTCAGAAGTAGCTTCTATATATAAACTTCTTCCTTTTTCAAAAGGGAATTTTGAGATTTCCCTTCCAAATACACTTTTAACACAGTAAGAAAAACAAGTCACTTAAGGAAAAATAAGGGCAAGGAGAAGAACACAGGTAGAAATCCAATGTTATTTCAAGTTCTTTATTTCTGTGGATGACACTACTTCCCTGGCACAACTTCGTAAATTACTACTTTAGTTATGTTGGAATCACAGAAGGGCCTGGGTTAAAAAGGACCACAATGATCATCTAGTCTCAACCCTACGTCCACAGTTGTCAACCACCAGACCAGGCTGCCCAGAGCCACATCCAACCTGGCTTTGAGTGCCTCCAGGGACGGGGCATCCACAACCTCCTTGGGCAGCCTGCTCCAGTGTGTCACCTCCCTGAGTGAAAAACTTCCTCCTAACATCTAACTTAAACCTTGCCATCTTATTTTAAAACTCTTCCCCTTCGTCATATCACTATCAACCCATATAGACTCTTGTAACTCCTCCTGCTTATACACTCCCTTCAAATACTAGAAGGCCACAGTGAGGTCTCCCCAGAGCCCTCTCTTGCCAGCATTAAAACACAAGTGTCCTACAATTAGCTCTTGTGCGTTTTTCTGACTGCTGTAATGTATTTGTGTGCCAATGTTTAAATAATCACAATGGAAGAATCCACTCCTTCCAGAAACATTAAAAACACTTTATGAATTTCCAATAAATAAAAAAGCACATTCAGAAACTGTTTGCCATCTTTATTACTTTCACATTCAAAGTATAAGGAACAAGGGATAAATCAGACCATCTAGGCCAATAATGAAAGTTACTAGATTAATAACACTTTTTTACACTATAATTATAGAAATATTGCCACAGCACACAGTCACGAGTGTATTTACGTAGAAAATTCCAATATCCAACATGAAGCACTACTTTCAGAGCACAAATGCTGGAAAACACTTTTGCCTGGTTGTATGTTTTCTCAAATGACAAAGTCATTTGACTTCTGTTACTGTACTGTTCACTTATTTTCCTTATTTCAATTTTTTGAAATAAGGAATTTCAAATTCTATTATGAAATCATTAACATTAACAAAAAAATACTGCTAAGATGCTACCTGTTTTGGATTCCTGATATCGGCCAGCTGACAGTAATGGACAAATAGACAAATTCTCAAATGACAGGCAATCTCACGCTGAAGAACTAGCTGCTATTACAGGGCTCACCAACATTTTCCAATTCATCTGTCAGGCTTTTTTTGAGACTTTGTAACTTTGCATATATGCAATGGAAGGAAGAAAAAATGGATTCAAATTTTAGTAGTTCATTTTTTATTACTATCAGTAGAATTTGACTTCTTCAAATATATGTTCCTACTAAAACAACCACATTCAAAACTATAGACAAAGTAAGAATGATGCAACTGATTATACATCCCAAAAATTTGCTTTCTAGCAAGGGTAAGAATACTTACACCTGTGGATCGAGCGTTACTGTCCTCACCATCACAATAACCAGGATGACAATGGTTAAAAGCAAAGAAACAAGAGATACCTGTAAAACACACAAATTCAGTCAGTAAACTGCTGAAAAGACCTATTCTAAGCAGTGCAATTTTTAGAAAGACTTATTAACCAGCTACATTTCTAATTATCACATCAAATATTTATATTTATAATCCTGTGCCTTGTCCTACACCATCACCTTTTCATTTGTTATTCTCTTTAGATCTAAAGTGACAAATTGCAATTTAACAGTAAGATATATATTTCCATTTAAATATTTGTCATCAGTAGTGCGCAGTATTTCAAGACCTGATTTGCAACACATACTGCTCTAAAAAAAAAAATAATAATAATAAAATATCTGCATCTACTAACAGTAGATGGGAAAAACTAGCCATTCATGTAGAGACCAGAGTGTTGTTTATACTTCTTTAAGTTGTCTGGTATTTCCTGGGTCAGAAAATGGTCTGAACTTCAAAAATATTTAAATTTGTTGTATCTAGTTGGATGCAATTCAATTCAAATACCTTGAGTTATGCATGACTGGCACTTATTTTCTAATGGCATATAAAAAAAGTTTACCTTTCCCAATTTTGCTATGTCACGATACAAAGATAAAGGCAAGGTAAAGATGATAGTGGTAAAAAGAATTATGAAGCGACGATCAACAAGCACATTTTCTGATCCAACTGAAACAAAGAAGCAAGTAAGTTACTTCTCTAAGAGCTGACATGAGAAATATATTAGTCACACTCAGAAGTCTAACAACTACAAACTTCAATGCTAAGCACATTTCAAGATAAATAACAGTGAAATAAAGTCTAAGTATTAACAGGGATGCTATACAGAGCACATGCACAATCAGAATATTTCTGCAAATTTAACCAACAGTTCATCCTACATGCAAGTGTAATGCTCTAATCGGATAATAACAGCAGGGTGGCAAAGTCCTTGCCTACAGCAAAGAACAAGACCAAATACAGCAGATAAAGAAATGAAGGAAAAGAGCTGCTTACCTTCAGAAGGCCTCAGGAACACAGGAATATCCAGAAAGAGATGCCCTCAACTCCACTGCCAACCCTTAAATGATCCTACTCCACACCGTCCAGTCACTCAGAGGCACTGCACACACCTGAGCTGCCCTGGGTTGGCCCTGTCTTCCCACCAGGTGCTCAATCACCGTTTCAAGCTATGACTAAGTATTTCCACTACAGTTATGCACATATCCTACTCTGGAACTGTGGCATTTGTACATAGAGATTACTACTAATCCCTTCCATCATAACTGGATCAATGTTGGCAGACTGTAAGTAAAACTAACATTTCTTCCTGGATATACTGCTTAGGATTTTTTTTACAGCGCTGAGATCAATTGTTGTGCAGCAAAAGAGCAGCAAACTCTCAAAAAACAGCTGCAAAAAAGTTGAGTAGCAATTGACAAGAGCAATGCATAGTTCAAATGTACAGCTCCCTGATGCTTTGGGAGATTATAATGCCTTTTCCTCTTCTGCTTAAATAAGCATTTTACCAGCCAGGTGAAAAGATACATGTTGCTTCCATTAAAAAAAAGTCACGCTGTATATGAATTATTAGATATTCACTGTCTTTATCAAGCTGAACAAAGCATAACAGCTAAAACCATATCCTACACCTTGCAGACTACTTTAAATTATAGTCTTCCTAGTAAAATCAAGTAGTTCATACAAACGCTAATTTGCACTTCACTGCATATGTGCTGTTTTGAGTTTAGTTTGCCAATGAAACACACCTGAACTTAGCTGACTTTCTGCTGAAAGAGATAAGTACCTACAAATTACTCAATTCCACTCTGAAAACTTACAATCAGAGAAGGATAAGAAGCGTGTGAATGAAGACCTCAAAATGTTTTTACACTATCTGCAGCAATTGGATGGATGAATACAATGGGAAAGGCATTACAACAGAAGTGCAATAACAGAAGGACCAACACGATAGAAAGGTGGCTATACAGAAGGGAAAGAAGAGTGCTCACCCATATCAGAAGATTCCAGGTTTGCAGAAGAAAGCTTCACCAAAGAGAGATCTCCAGAAAGAGATCCTTCCTCAGTGGCAGTAAGCCCTTAAATGAGGTTTGAGAGGTGCAGCCAGGCTCCACCCCTTCTGGTAGCACACATGAATTGCCTTCACCTGTGCTCCCAAGGCTGACCAGTTTCAATCAGCAGTTCAGGCCATGACTCAACAGTTCTCATGTGCTATCCAAGAGACCATCTACAGTTATATATGCAGTTTATGACCAACCATACAGGCATGCTTAAATGTGCATTAAATCCATTATATTGTATGCAAGTCATCCAGAACTATTTACTAAATGCAGTGTTAGTATTTATGTATTTATTATAGCAAACATCAAAAAATATGACAAAATATATTCTTGTTATCATATCAGTGGGCAAGAATATTTGCTTCATATCATTAAATATTGCGGCCTCTTCACTAACACTGAGTACAATGAGTACCAAGGATTAGGATTTGCAATTTTGCGATTTAAAAAAAACAAACACACTTGTAAAAACAGGCTTCAAGTTCATAACTTAATTAACATTTCAGAATAATTCAGACACAAAGTAACAGGCAGATTACTACTTAAGTTTGCTACGGTACGATAAGCCTTAAATAAGTATGTTACATTCCTACCTAATAATTTTTTTCCATTCTGAAATTTTAAAACACATCTTACCTCCAGGAATTCTCAAGAACACTTTAGTTAAAGTGTCTCCAGTTATTATGTTGTAACTAATCATAGCTTAAAGAAAATTTAAAAAATGGTTAGTACAAATCAAATATAGATTATTTGATAAACCATTAAATAGACGTATTGTGTGGACTTCAGGATGGCATGCCACAATCTCCCTTGTACGAATTCTAGTTAACACCAACTTTTAAGATTAAGGCTGAAGACAAAAAAAAAAAACAAAAACAAAACAAAACAAAAAAGCTAACAATTGCCTTTCTTTATTTCAAGCAGGTACAACCTAGAAAGAATCTAATCTGATAAGCAAGGCCACTGTGCTATTACCATATATACTTAATACAGATGGGAGATAAAAAAAGGCTTTAAAATTGCTTTATTCATTTCCAACTTCAATTCTTTGTCAGTTGATATTTAAGCTTCTGTTTCAATTTAGTAATGTTTTTGTATTAACATAATAAATCAGTCCTGCAATAAAATGAACAGGGTTTCCTAGTTCATATCAGGAGTTTGTGAAATATTTCAGCCCGAAGAAATGATGAAGATAACAAATATGGATTTCCATTACTTTTTCTCATGAATAAGAACTGTGATTGTAATGTATTCTGCACAGAAAGTATGTGTGCATACACACACACACACGCACATATACTAATGTGGATAATGACCTTAACTAACACATAAACATTCACTGCTGTGAAATGATAAGTTATTAACACTATGTATGTAAATAATTTCAAGCATGTTTTGTAACTAGTTTCATGTTGAGGACTGAGGTCTTTACAACTATTTCCCATATTCTCTGTGATGTAGTAATTACACTCTTAAGTCAACCATAATGGATCAGGATTTTCAGACGTAATTCACTATTTCAGTTTAAGGGATGAACCTTGATAAAATAATTAACAGGTACCTGCAACACTGCTGCCTGCAGTAACTCCAACCTGACTCCCTTAACTATCTCAGCTACCTAAAATGACTTCAGAATAATTATTCCTAAAGGACAAATTTTGCTCTGGGACTCCTCAGTCACCAAATTCAGTCTATTTTCTCATATCATTATCACCACCTCATGCAGTCCTATGTGTGCTGCACTGTTTTTCTGGAAGCCTGCTCTTCCCTATTCTCATAGCTAAATTCTGTTGTTGATTTTTAAGTGTGTGAATTTTTGTGTTATCACACTTCAACTCATTTTTATTATTCTGGTTCTCAAATTCAGTGAATTCTTCCTCAGTCATTCTTCAGCATTCTACAATTATTTATATATTAAGAAAATACGTGCATATAGTATACTTTTTAGAGTTCTTGAAATTTATCAAGTAAAAGAATAAAATAATGTGAAAAACCTTACTATTTATAAAGCTCAGATATCCGTATTTTATGTCATCTTACCAATAAATGGATATAAAAACTGAAGAGTTGAAAGAATTAGATAACCTAAAAAACCATATGTTTTTCTGACCAGCTCTTGATAGGTGTTGGTACTGGAGAGATTTCCTCCTTTGATCAGTAATATAATGGAATAATCTGTTAAAATATAAAATTATTGTTAAACACTAGCAATTAATAAAATGCTAGAAACTAGAATTTAGTTAATACTCTTTTTCACTCTTTAAAAAAACAGGTCTGTAAAAATGAAAAACAGCAGCATTAGAAGACCGGGGAGGAGAATGGTAAGGGAAGTCACAGTAAGAAAACAGAAATCTCATCATTTTTTTAGGTAACCAACATGGATAAAAAACCAAATATGTAAGATTCAATGAACAAGGGAAAAGATTACTAACTAGATGAAACATTTCATTATATTCAGGTAGAGTAAAACACGACCAATGCCTGTGTCAAATGATTTATCTTGAAAACCAGAGACTGAGCCACTCTTGTATGAAGAAGTGCTTTGACAGAGAGCTAATGTCATAGGTGGAATGCTCCAAGACAGAACCTCATCCTTTTACGAAGAACAGTATGGAATGTGCTGTTTTTGCATGCTATGCTTTAGTATTTGAGTACCATGTAATTTTTCAGTCCGGATTACTTATACCACAGAATTTACTACATTGGATAGATGTCTTGACAGACAGGGCTAGACCTCGTTTATTCTTTCTCTGGTTTTCACTTAGCTTGTAATTCAGTATCTGTGCTTGTAATATCAGTATCAGTGCTTACTATCTTCTGTAAAGGTGACTTCTTTTTGAAGGTAAATCCATGATTATTTTTTTTTAAAGGATCACAATCAAAATATTCAAAATCATAGTTACTCTGGAAGATTTTAATTCTGCAGTACACTTGAGTGATATACAACCCACTCAATGATCATTGTCTAAATTAGAATAAAAACAGTAGACTAAAATAGGTAATTATAACACACAAATGAGATCTATTCTTCCAAATGTCATCTTGACCTAGTCTAAGAAATTAGGCTTCACCAAATAAAAGGTACACAAAAAGCAGCTTTATATATTGTACAGAGTAATTCTCTACTTTTACTAATCGGCTCAGGGGATTAGTGAGGTGAAAGTAATTCCCCATTTTTACTAAGTTCATAAACACAACTGTTTAAGCTAACATGTTCAAAATCATCTAAACTTTGCAAAAAAGAATTTCACTTTATAACACAAACTGCTTTTACAATACCTGTGATATAGGCAACCCCAAACAGAAGCAGTACTCCTAAAGGAAAACCAGCTTCTTTCATTGAATAGGGAAGTCCTGTAAAAAAAAAAAAAAAAAAAAAAAAAACCTAAGAAATTACAGAAGAACTTTTACAAATATTTATTTATAATGACAAAAATAAAGAAATATTTGGATTAAAAAATAAACTGCTTTCAATCTCCCAGATTGGACCAGAAAGAGTTAATAACTTCAGAAAAGGTTAAGACAAAGGGCCACCTCTGTGTGAGAAGCACATGTTTAACCAGTACTTTCTGGTCATTACAGAACAAAAGGCTGTAGGGTATTTATTCAGACCTGATCTCAGCTGACAAAATTGAATTTTCATATAGTAAGAGAATAAAAGTAGAAAAAAAATTCTTCAGCAAAAACAGCAAAAAATGGAAGGACAGCACTTTTCTCAACACTGCATAGTCATGTACACAAACAAGGCTGAACACATGCTACTGAAAAGTACACATACCTATAATACCTGATCCTATGATGGAGTTGATAATGTTAAATCCAGCTGATGCCAGATCACCATTTCTTCCTTTATTCCTGGGCTTACTAACCAGGGCTGTATGGTCATCTGTTTCTATCTGTTTCAGGAAGACAAGGATGAGATTAAAAATAGGTGATAACATGAGTTTTACATATATTTTAAAAGGTTGCTTCAAACCAGAAAAAAAGAATTACTTTCATTGACACAGATTTGTAAAGGTATTTTGATAATTACATTTACTTTTTCCAGTGAGAAATCAAAGGGGTGCAAAGCATCTAATTCCTTCATAAGCCTGAGCCATAATCTTCCGTAATTAATTTTTCTCTGAAAAAATATAAGTAGAAGAAGAAAAATCTATAAAAACTCAGAGTTAGGCTGTTAAGGAGCTTTATAGTAGTGTTGAAAAGGCAGAAATACTAATCAAGTATTTTGGAAAATATTTTGATTAATCTTATGGCTCAGTAAAAATAGCCCCCCTGAATCTGGGGAATTAAATCAATTTCAAAAGTTACTTGTGAAGTATGTCAACATATTAAGGTGTTCTAATTCAAAGTTTTCTCTGTTCTTTTCTATATTTCTGTGTCTTTCAGTAGTTTATTTTATCATCAAAAGTAAATGACACCATAGGATTGGGTAGCCCCAGAAGGTTTCTGAGGGAAGGTCTGATACAAAGCAAAATTTAAGGTGCACATTTGTAGCAGCTCCAGCAACTGAAGAAGTTATCTGCAAAAAGAATCTCTGCATGAGCATGTAGTAGTCCTCTTTGCCAGAGGACATCCTAGCTTTGCTCTTTATAATGCCAATATTTTAAAAGAAATCATGTAATTAAAAAAGGAACATGCATTTAACAGAGAAAATGCCTTTTGATTTTTCTACAAAAACAAAACATTGTACACTTACCATGAAAATAAAACCATTATTTCATGGATGCAAGAGCCTATTTAACACGTATATCTTCTAGTACAAACTCAACAGCTACTTATTTAATTGAATACTTTAACCCTTAAGCAATAATAACATTAGAATAGTAATGCTGTCTTAGATTAAAGGCCTGTATTGTCTGGTACCTCATTTTTAGCAGTAGCCAATGGAAGGTTCATTGGAAGATTACCTCGTCCTAGCTTTCAACATCTTGCATACCTTGGTACATCTTGGCTTATTCTTGTTGTGTTAACTTCCTTAAGCAATTATTCCTTGAACGTGCCCTTTTAAGAAGCTCTGCATATTCTCTAGCCTCTGCAATGTCCTGTGGCAAAAAGTTCCACACCTTAATTATGCATTACATGAAACTTTTTTTTTGGTGAATTTGCCATTAAACATTCCAGATGGTTTCTCCAACAAACTTGCATCACCACAGAGAAAACAACCATCATTTCCTACTTCTTCTCTCCATATCACACCTAGTTTTACAGGTGTAGTGGAAATACTAAGTCACAACCTGAAACAGTGATTGAGCACCTGGTGGGAAGGCAGGGTCAACACAGGGGAGCTCAGGTGCATGCGATGCCCCTCAGCAACCAGAAGGGGTAAAGGCAGGCTCCACCCCTTTCCAGTCCTCATTTAAGAGTTGGCAGTGAAGGTAAGTGAATCTTGTTAGAGATTCTTACCTGCTTGAGGCCTCCTGAAGGTAAGCAGATTTTCCCCATTTTGTTTTTGTATCTGTGGCTGCTGCATTTGGAGTTGTTTGTTTTTTGTTATAGCATGGGGTTATGACACCTTGTTATCATTGCTAAACTTTCTATTACATTTACAGCATTACAAAAGGTAGGATTCTTCCCCCGTGGAGTTTATTCTAGACTTATGAGTAGACTATGTGATCTGATACATGCAGCAGGAGTATTCCTTGAACTTCAATGACTTCTGCTACCTATAGCATAGCTCGTAAAGAACTCTGCTAAACTAGAATAGCCTACTTCCCTATTTTGAGTAATTACTGGAATAAGAACACAGTGCTTTCTGTACAGTTCAAAAGCCTTATAGCCCTTAAAACTATCACAGCAACAGGCTCTTGGAGTGGCTCTTAAGAACTGTGAGACCAACTGTATGCCACCAAACAGCTGGGCTTGCCCACAGTCATACTGATAGAATCAAAGAATCACGGAATTGTTAAGGGTGGAAAAGATCACTAATGCCATCTCATCCAACCTATTCGCACCATGCCCACTGACTGCATCCCTCGGTACTACATTTCCATGGTTTCAGAACGTCTTCGGGGACAGTGACTCCACCATCTTCCTAGGTGGTCTGTGTCAGAGCATTACAATTCTTTCTGAGAATAACTTTTTCCCTGGTGTAACTTAAAGCTCTCCCCTCATCCTATTGCTGTTGAATGGGAGAAGAGACTGAACACACCTTGCCACAACCTCCTTTCAGGGAGTTGCAGAGATCAGCGAGGTCTGCCCTGAGCCTCTTCTCCTAATGGAACAATCCTAGCATATATTGATCATGACAGACCCACCAGGACTCAAAGTACCTGAGTTCTAGCATCCAAGTGAGAGCCAATTTTGGCTGTATCAAGCAGTCATAGAAATATACATAGGCTCACCAGTTTACTTTATTCTTATTCTGCTGGGTACCTACAGCTCAATTCTTTTTCATTGAGTTAAAGAGAAACTCAGAGATAACAAAAGCTAGGGCTGCTGCCAGTCTCACAAAGCCCGACGAGAGCCCAGTCCGCAGCAAAAACCATCGCCCCTCGAGCTCCGCAGCCCCCTACAAGAAGCCGCTAAGCGCCGCCGATCTCACCTGCGGAGCCCCGGCCGGTGGCTGCTCGATCCCGCCACGCTCCATGGCCGCGTGCCGCTCTCCTCGCGCCTCCGAACCCCCGCGGACCCCTGAGGAGAAGCGGAGAAGCGCGGGGCAGCTCTCGCGCTCCTCCCGGGCAGCCTCCATGTGGGCGGCGCGGGCTCCTCTCTGGCGGGGGGGAGGCACGGCGGTCGGCCGCCTCCCGCCTTTCCACGTGCAGCCGGCCGGTCTCGCTCCACATCGCCCGCCTGCACCGGGGCCGTGCCCGTATGCAGAGCCGTTACTGCGTTCTTTTTTTCCCTCGGTCAGGTTGAGCTACTTGAAAAGAGGTAAAATTACTGTGCCGATGTTTGGAATCCTTAGTTACGTCAGTTATCTTCAGCTGAGAGCTCGCACTGAGAGATACTTTGTAAACATACACTTTGCGTGTATTTTCCCGTATCTTAAGCAAAACTGTAAACTAATGGCAAGAAGTGATTGCAGATAGCCATTGACTTCATGAAGAACTACTGTAGGCAAAACTTAGGGTCCATGCAGCTCCAAAACAACATTGAGAGCTTTCTGCAAAGACTGGAGGGACAAATCAGTGGAGCTTGAACATGAGATTTTTAAACAAGATTAAATTATTAAAGAAAAAAAAAAAAACAATCCAGAATTATGAAACATGCACTCACTAAATGGCAAAAGAAAACGAAGCATGGTAATTTGCTTTACGAGTCTTAGCTCTTATGTTTGACAATATTTTGCTAGGTTTGCAGTGGTTAAAGGAGCCAGTATGCTGTGCATCAGTAACTTTGTCCTTAAAGATCTATGATGCATGTGATTTAATATGAAGAGCAAAGTGCATATGAAGAGCATATATGATACATTTGTTATGTAGCTTAAGCACATGAGCTTCAGCTCCTTCAAAAAGAAGTCTGTAATTAACTCCATGACAAGTTTGCAGTCTGACATGTATTGTGGTGTGACCAGTCAGGTGATGCGAGTCAGCAGAGAAAATTTGAGAGGCCTCAAGTGTAAAGAAAAGTCCCTGTGATTCAGTAGCAATGGTAGGTTTTTTCAATTTCCTTTAGAGTTCTGTCTAAAAACAAGTAGTAAAGTTGTTTGAAGGTAGAGTGTAATAAAACCTTATAAATATGGAGGGAGTGGGGAGGGAAACAGCAATCATGATAAAAAGGGTCTTTTGTTTTTAGTGGAGAGTGTTTTTGGAAGTTTTCCTTAGTAGGACTCTTCCCATTTGGAAGATGATGCAGAGACTATGCCTCCAACTGAATTATCGTAGAGTGAATGGAAAGGATCAGCAATAATAATTTAAGATAATCAGGTGTATTCATCTTGGAATCCTGAGTTAATTTGTATCCCAGGAACAGTAATTGCTAAGCTTTTGCTTAACAGGGACAAAGTGATGTTGGAAAATAGCCAAGGTAACATTAGTACTCTAGGAAATCATGCAGGAAACTACATAACCAATAGGCCTGACATATTCATTGAGCAAAATAGTAGAAACTGCAGTAAATAATAAAATACAGTGCCTTTGAGCTGTGTTGGCAGAGTTTTGTGGAGCAGCCTGCACTGCTACAACAGTTGTTTGATAATGGCTACTGCTAAATTGCTGAATGCCAATAAGAATGGTCATTCATAAGCACTAAATGTATTAAAGCAAACAAGACATTAATAAACAGCGAACTCAGTACTGTTAAGTTGTTGGTACACTCCAAGGATGTGTTCCAGGTCATCTGAAAACATAAAAGATGAGAGAACTTGGATACAAAGCTGGCATAGAAAAAGAAAGGCCATGTGATATGAATTTACAAACATGAAAGAATTCATTGGCTGTTATCTCTTGGTTTAAATGAATGACTAAATTAGAAGTAAAGGAGCATTTTTTTGTAAGGGGTGATGTAATCACGTGACACTTTAATGTCAAATTCATTAATCTTTCCTGAAAAGGTCAGTAATCTTTTACTTTTCAGTAGCATCTTTCTCTATGAGGCAAACATAGTAAGAAGAGCTGCTGTTCTCAATACTGAATTAATTTAGATGTAAGATACCCGGTAGGATGCTACAAGTTGTTATGGACCACTTCTTAAGAAAGATGTTGCTGATAAGTGAGGTGTTGTAATGTGTTTAAGCACAGTGGAATGAAAACTGTCCCTCTTAATTGACACCCCTGCAAGGACAGTCAAGATATACTAGGGAATGTAACCTCCTTGTCTTGCAGTTGTAAGCAGTCTGCTAGCCCTGCCTGTTTGATTAGCCTAAACACCTGGTGTAAACCATGTTACTGGACTGCTTCAGTGTAGGCTAAATAAAGACATGGGTACTTAACTACAGCCCTGGGTTATTAAGTAGGCAGACTTATCTTTGTTCTCCTTTGGAGTCTCTGGCTTGTAGTATTTGCTGTCTTCCCCTTATTCAGAATTTTGCAGATATTTTTGTTATACCCATTTTTCTTTACTTGCTCTTATTTTACTGTAACTTCTTAATGTTGGGAGTGTTCTGTTGTTAGGTGATAGAGATTGCTGTTCTGGTTATGTTTAAAGGAATTGTAATATGCAGTGTGTATCATAGTTTGGTTACTGGTTGTGAAATAATGGATCAGTAGGTGTTGCCATGAGATTTGAACTCTGTGCTCTTCAGGCTTTTTATTTCAGTTACTCCTCTGTTAAATAAACAAGGATAAGCATTTAGTGAACCTACTCCTGATTTATGGTACCTTACACTGCCAGCCATGTGATTATCTTAATTGAAAGAAACTTAGAGAGCTGTTTTAGTGTACATTAAACTTGAAATCCTGACTATAGGATTGCAGACATAAAAACAACACTACTGTATTATTTTAGGTGTCATAGTTATACCTATATTCTTACAAGTGGGAGACCTGGAGGGAGGAAAGTAAGATATGAGTGACTGAAAGTGTGCCAGCCCTCAGCCAGCCTAAAGGATTTCAGTTTTCAGAAAAGTAGAAGGCAAGGGCAAGGATATGTGTTTTGCTAGCATGCATTTTTGTTTTTGTTAAATGTTTTAAGTTTCTTTGCTATGTGCATAGCTGACTTATACTGAGTACAACCATATTATGGCTACCAGTTAGCTTAATTGCTCAGTTCCCTTTCTGAGCTGTAGTGGAAGTTCACGCAAGTGTTGGTATTCTGCTGGATGTTAGTGGTTCACCAATCACATGATGTGTAGTACTGCAGCTTTCATTATTGTATTTCTCCAGTGCCTTAGCAGATCCTGTATGGAAGTAAAATCTGTTTTGAGTGGTATTCATTGGCTTTTATTTTCAAAGTATTGAAATTAGTGTCACTGTATTAATTTGTTACTAGCTCCTGCTGTTTTGGACCTACCTTCCTGTGCTCTAATCCTTCAGTGTCTTCAGAACAAATACAAAGTGATGACATTATTTGCTTTTTAGGGATTCTCTTGTGTTTTCTGAAATAGATAATGAACTGAAATTATACTTAATATAGGGTGATGTATACTTTATGTACACTTAAATACTAATGCCTTCAATGTGATCAACTGTGGCCTCTTTTGGGAAAATGAAGCTTACCTAGTATTTTTCTTCTAGATAAGAAACTTTGGTTAAACTCAATCTCAATCTACTTACGTAAATTGAATACAGAGCATTCAATTATACAAGTATCACAGTACATTTTTCTTTTATTGATTTACATTGATACTGCATTTCTAATATGCAATACTAATTATTTGCTAACGCTTTTAATTCCTCTTTGCAGAAATAAGTGGTTTTTCTCATGGTGATATACTCATTGAACTCCTTTCTGAGCTGTGTTATAAGGCAGCTCATGCAACAGGGATTTTTAAGAGCACAGATTTTTCTTGGGACTTGAAATCGTGCATTACTGCTATCCATTAGGTGTCTGCAAACTTTCTTTGAAAGACTATTGCTGACAAACAAAACCTCTGATATCAAAATGTCAGCAGTTAGTAACGACGTGCTTTATCCTTCAGGCACCAGGGGGCAATATTTGACTTCTTTTAGTTGGGTACTGTAAAGTGCTGGCAATCCTCAATAGGCCTGTGTGTGGTATCTGGTACATGCTGAAATCTGACAGGGTTGTCTTTTACTTCAGTTACCACATATACAGGCCCTAGAGTAAGAGGTGTATGTGGTTTTTTTAAGAAGCACTATTACAATTGTAAATAAATGGTGAGAATAGCCCTTGAACTCAGAATCTGTGGGTTTTTGTGATATCTTCAAGAGAATTTGTCTAAAATAGAAAATATAAAATACAGTGATTCTGTTCCAGCTGTTTTTCTCAATAATGACTGACATAAGTTGACAGAAAATGGTCATAAGTCTTAGTAACTTGGCGTGCCTTAGAGTGCTTTCTCCAGTTTTGAATCTTCATCATCTACAATCTCGTGTTTTTCTTTGTTTCTGTGCAGAGTAAGGAGATAAGGTGGTACAAATCTGATGAAGAAAGCTGGTGTTTGAGTCGAGCCATGTGAGTATCTATGCTGCAAAAATTATAATTGCAACACAGATTATAGCTGATGATTACTGAGTTATTAAAAATTGTTTGCTGTACTTTGGAAACTATTTACTCCCTGTAAGTTTTTCTTTGTTTACTGTTTTAAAGTCTGTGTTGTGGACAGAATATTAATGACGAAACTTTGACCGTGGTGAATTCAACAGTATAACTCTTAAATGCTCTGTGATATTTTTATGAGTATAGCATGAGAGTTCACAGTTATATACATTAGAAAGATGTAATCAAGTATCTTATGATGTTTCTTGTTGTTGCTTGTATGTCTGATGGAATTTTTTGTACCTATAAGGTCCCCTGTTAGGTTTTGCAATAATGCAGACTTGGGGGGACTTTAATCAGTGAAAAGATGGATGTGCTTTAAGAGGGAGTAGGAGAACAGTCGGGTTTTCTTTTCTTTTTTTTTTTTTTTTTTTTTCAAAATGACTAGCAAGGGGAAGAAGGAAAAGAAAAAAGTAGAAATGGATTGTGGGAAGTAATGATTTTAAAATGTTAGGACAAAAAAAAGGAGGCAATTGGGATTGTCAAATGTCTTGCTAATGACTTCTCTGAAAATTAGTTTCTCTTTTGATAGTGTTAGCAGCATTTCAGATATTTCTTTCAGAAGTATTTTCCTGATGTGCCACTCATA